TCTGTAGAGCTGACACTACTCCAGGCTCAATTTTCACTATGATCTAAGGAGAACCTCTTCCTGCTTCCCCATCTGGTTCAAGAAATTTGAAATTTTGAATTCCAGAATTTTGAAAAGAATGCAGTGTGGCTTCACTGTGTTTTCTAGGCGAGCAGCAGGTAACTTTACTCACCACTTATACCCTCTTTCTGAAGATACTAGACTTTATCTAGTCCTTATAGATCAGTGGTTTGCAAACTTGAGTAGGCACAAAAATTGCTGAGAGGTTTGTGTAACATGCAATCACCTCTCCTCCATCTACTGTCCCTGTAGACCTTATGAAGTCTGACTTGAGGACTAGGTCTACTAGACAGCTATACTCGAAACAGGTACCCTGACATTTCGTGTGTGAATTCTAGAGAAAAAGGTTGCCCAATGCAAAATGAAAATGTACTTTCTAAAGAAAATCTGTAAGAATTGGGCAACATGTCATTACAACTTATGCTCGATTGTGAGAGAAAGGTGCAGTGTTGGGGAACAGAAGACAACTTCAGGATGCTGTGAGGTTGGCTCAGGTGACTCCACTGCTGTTCCTGGTCAGTAACAACTGGAAGAAACTGCATCATCTGCAAAGAGGCTGATGGTGGAGACTTCCAGAGCTTCACTGAGGTGGAGGGAAAATGATGCCCTGCATGTGGTGCTAAGGAGGGCCTGTTTGACATGGATTCAAGGTATCCTTGGGGTATCCCAGAAGGAATGCTGTAAGATTTGAAAAAAAGAAAGCTTGAGGAGTTTTGTTAAGGTTTAATCAAGCTTGCTTTAATGCTGGGAAATGCCAAACTGAAATCTCTTATGATGAAAGCTGGTTGATTGTAGGCTGAGTCCTATGCTCAGTGGTGCCCTTTAAGAGCCTGGTACTTTTCCCCTATTTCCTACCTTCAAGTCATGCCAATTTTCATCATTCCCCACATTATTCATCCTTCAGCTTTCACTCAACTTCACTCAACTAATCCTAACCCACAGATGTTAACTGCAACTTCAAGTGTGACTCCCACTCTGGGGTTCTTAGAGTAGCATTCTTAGAAGGAGTACAATTGAGTCCAGAAACACCCCAAGGGAATTTCTGGTGCACTTAATATGAAACATTTTTTTTTTCTAGTGGTGTTATCATCTCTATCATAAAAGATGGTTAGGAAGGTCCAAAATGACTCAAATCCAGGAAACCAACTTTAAGTGGTGATATAAATGATAGAGATGATTGAAGCAAAGCTTCAGTTTCTATTTCCATTGACCAGCTACATAAATCTAGAATACTCTTGTGCAAGTGGGACCCCATAATGACTCATTCAATTCACCCCATCCCTGCGCAACAATGACAGGCATAGACTGTACCAGATAGGTTGCCAGGCATAGACTTGTGCGGCCGTAAGTGTCTTGCATGTTAATATTGGCCCCCATCTTCAACAGCAGCTTCACTGTGTCTACCTGACGTCCAGAAACTGCATGCATCAAGGGTGTACATCCTGCAATGAGATATTTCAATAGCTTTTAAAAAATGTTTGACTTAGAAAATTTATGAGCACAGTGTTCATTAAGCTCTATGAAGATAAACCATCCACAACACAAACCCATCTGTTGAAGACAGTTGTTGCTATGTTTGTATAAACCATGTTTTCTTTTTTTTTTTTACCTTATTCAGTCACCTGCAATTTTGCGATATTTGCTTGATTAAAACATATTGTACAAAGTTGCTGGTACTTGAAAATAATAATATGGAACATAGCAGGCAGGTTTGTCCTAACATTGCTTGGACAATGCATAATCTGAAAGAGCTTTGAAAAGCAACTCATTCCAGGAAGACAGGTCCAGGCCACTTATAATGGGAGCTGGTGGATGAAAACCAGCAGTGATAATAGTCTAGTCTTAGGATGTATAAGCACTGCACTAAGAAGCTAAAGCCACTTCAGCATGAGTTCGATCCCTGCCCTGGAGATGATCCACATGGCACTGCAGACCTCTCCTGACCTGCCCACTGTTCCCTTCAGCAGTGTACTTCTTCAGTCAGCCTGTTTTGCTCCCCTCCCCACTCTGTCCCTGGTGAATCCTCTCACTGCCCCTGCACCTCTGGCCTGTACCCCTGTTCTGTATGCATAAATAAATAAATCTTTTTTAAAAAAGTTGCAATAAAGTGCTATGTCTTTAAGAGTGGCTAAATCAGTCTCTCTCTCTCTCTTTCTCCTTATGGATGTTGAATTGCTCCACATGCTTTCTTCCACAAATAGGATTGCATATGCACTTTTAAAAATTTTTTTTTATTTTTAAAATTTTTTAAATTTTTTACAAGAGTTTATTTTTACATCATTTTGCACATTCATGTTTTCCATCTCGATTGTAATCCCCGCGGGTTTCCCATCACCAAATCACCCATGTGCCACCACCATAATCCTGTGCATTT